CGGGTCTCTCTCCAGTCACTGATGACCCCTCTCTCCTCTCTTTCTCGTGTCTGGCGGCTGCGGCGCTCAGAGACCTCCAGCTCCCTCTGGTGATCGATCCTCCTCTCCAGCACAGGCTCTTCTCTGTCTCTTCTGCAAACCCTCCTCTCTTCCACTTCACGGTCACGTTCTCTCCTTCTGAGCTCCTCCCGTGGCTCCAGTTCACGGATCTCTCTGTGGATTTTCACATCAGCTTCTGCTGCTGCTGCTCTGGTGTCTCTTGTCCTTTCGTACCTCACTGACTCACGGTCTCTCCTTCCATCATCCTCACATGTTTCCCGTCTCTCCCGGGTCTCTCTCCGGTCGATGGTGACCCCTCTCTCCCTGTCCCGTGTCTGGCGGCTGCGGCGCTCAGAGACCTCCAGCTCCCCTTGAAGGTCAATCCTCTGCTCCAGCACAGGCTCTTCCCTCTCTCTTCTCCGAAGAATCCTCCTCTCCTCCTCTCCACACTCACGAGGACATTCCCTCCTTCTCAGCTCCTCCCGTGGCTCCAGTTCACGGATCTCTCTGTGGATTTTCACATCAGCTTCTGCTGCTGCTGCTCTGGTGTCTCTTGTCCTTTCGTACCTCACTGTCTCACGGTCTCTCCTTCTGTCATCTTCACGTGTTTCACATCTCTCCCGGGTCTCTCTCCGGTCGATGGTGACCCCTCTCTCCCTGTCCCGTGTCTGGCGGCTGCGGCGCTCAGAGACCTCCACCTCCAGCTCCCCTTGAAGGTCAATCCTCTGCTCCAGCACAGGCTCTTCTCTGTCTCTTCTGCAAACCCTCCTCTCTTCCACTTCACGGTCACGTTCTCTCCTTCTGAGCTCCTCCCGGGGCTCCAGTTCACGGATCTCTCTGTGGATTTTCACATCAGCTTCTGCTGCTGCTGCTCTGGTGTCTCTTGTCCTTTCATACCTCACTGACTCACGTTCTCTCCTTCCATCATCCTCAAGCTCCCGTGTCTCTCTCCGGTCGATGGTGACCCCTCTCTCCCTGTCCCGTGTCTGGCGGCTGCGGCGCTCAGAGACCTCCACCTCCAGCTCCCCTTGAAGGTCAACCCTCCTCTCCCTCAGTCTTCTTCTTCTTCTCGGATCATCTCGTTCTTCCCACTCCCGATCCTCACGGATCTCTCTTTCCCTCTCTGCATATTCCACCTCTTGTTCCCGCTTTGTTCTCTCTTCACGGACACGTTCCCCTGGCTCAGCCCTATCACAGCCCCTGAGGTCGAGTTCCAGCGGTTCCTCCAGGTGTGACTGATGTGGGTGCCTCGAGCTCGGGCACTCACCACCTTCCCGGCGGCCGCTCCCTTCCAGCGCCCTTTGTTCCAGCTCCTCTTGGTGGTGGCGGCTCCTCTCTTCCCTCAGCAATCCAGGTCTGCGTGGCTGGTTGTCACTTCCTCCATCTGCTCCCCGTGGCCTCTGGTTTCTTTCATCACAGGCTGGTCCTTCTGGCTCCCGTGGCCGAGATTCCGAGCTCCGGCTGCGGATCCGCACGTCGGCCACTTCTTCCCGCCGGGAGCCCTCTCGCTCTTCCCTCTCTCCCACCAGCACCCCCAGCTCACGTTCCTGGGCTCTGCCACGCCGGAGTTGTCCCTCTCCCCGTCTGTCCGGCTCCGGTGGCTGCCGCCTCCTCCGTCCCTCGCGTGGCTCCCGGCTCCGTTCCTCGTATTCCTGAGGGATGGGCTCCCCCGGCTCTCTGCTTAGCTCGGCGTCGTTCCTGCTCTTTGTGTCCCTCCTCGCCTCCTCTGACATTTCGATCTCGCTGACCCTGGTGTGTCTCTGCAGCTCAGGCTCACGGGGACGGTTCCTCTCCCGGGTTTGCTCCTCCTCCTCCTGGAGCTGCCGGCGGCTCCCCCTGCTCCTGATCTCGGGCTCTCGGGGCACCGTGAGCTTCGTTCTCTGCACCAGGTACGGTGCCCTGGGCAGGTGCCGGTAGCAGCACTTGGCCACTCTGAACACCAGCAGGAGGAACTCGTTGAAGTCGATGTCCCCGTCCCCGTCCCACTCCAGGAACTGCAGGATCTTCTCGATGGTCTGAGGGTCGTGAGGCTTCTGCAGGGAAAACACAGGGAGACATCCCAGGGATTTCAGCCTTCCTGCTGCAAAACTGGAGCAATCACAGCCTCTTCTCCTTCCATCCCTCCCACCCTCACGTTCAGAGCTCAGCCACAGGTTTTGTTCCCCCTTGTCCTGGTTGTTCCCCGGCTGCAGATAAACAGCTCTGCTCTTTTTGGGATGTGCTGCTCTCCTTCTGCTGGGTACCTTTCCTACCTGGGAAAGGAAGCCACACCTCCCCACAGCTCCTTCTCCAGCTTTTGCCCATCTGCTCGTGGCAAATTGGGTTGGAAGGGCCTTTGAAGCAGTCAAAGAATCACAAAATCACAGAACTGAGGTTGGAAAATACTTCCAAGGTCATGGAGCCCCCCCTGTGCCCCATCCCCACCTTGGCCCCCAGCCGAGAGCACTCAGTGCCACATCCAGTCCTGCCCTGGACACCTCCAGGGCTGGGGACTCCCCCACCTCCCTGGGCAGCCCCTGCCAAGGCCTGAACACCCTTTCCAGGGGAAATTCCTCCTCATGGCCAACCTGACCCTCCCCTGGCACAGCTTGAGGCCGTTTCCCTCCTCCTGTCCCTTGTTCCCTGGGAGCAGAGCCCGACCCCCCCTCGGCTGCCCCCTCCTGTCAGGGAATTCCAGAGCCAGAAGGTCCCCCCTGAGCCTCCTTTTCTCCGGGATGAGCCCCCCCAGCTCCCTCGGGAGTTCTCCAGCCCCTTCCCCAGCGCAAAGGAACCCAACCACAGCTCCCCTCTGGTTGAAGCCTCCCCACCCCTCTTCCACAAGAACCATCCCCTCTCCAGGAGGAGATTTTTGCAGCCCCTGCACTCCCATCCTCCCTTTGCAGCCACACTCACAGCGAGGGCATCTGCAAACTCCCTCTGGATGAATTCCCTCATCCTGCTCCTGCTGAGGGTGGAGGAGCCTCCATCGTCCCGGGCGTGTCTGTGGAAGGTGCTGATGATGGTGGAGACGCTGTCCAAGAAGAGGGACATCTTCCTGCAGATTCCAGCAAGCCTGGAGGGAAAGGAGCAGACCCAAAGGTCGGGAGGTTTTCTGGGATCCAAGCATGGAAACAGGAGGGAGAATTGCCAGGGTCGGGCTGGGGGGCCCATGTGATGTGTCCTCTCTGTGCCACAGCGAACTCTGGGAAGGAATTCCAGGGCTTGGGGGGTTTTAGTGGGATGGGGAGTGTCCCCCAACCTTCCTCCTGATGTGTTTGAGTGAGGTCTGGATGGTAGGATGAGTTTGTGGATGGCAGGGAGGGAGCTGGGGGTGGTGACTCAAGGGATGCCCCAAGAACCAGCCCTGGGTGTTTATCAGAGAATCAGGGAATGGTTTGGCTTGGACTGAAAAGCCCACCCGGTCCAAGCCCCTTGCCATGGGCAGGGACACCTGGAAGGTCTCTCGGGTCTCCCTGGAGCCTTCTCTTCTCCAGGCTGAACACCCCCAGTGCTCCCAGTCTGTCTCCAGCCCTTGGAGCATCTCCATGGCCTCCTCTGGACCCGCTCCAGCAGCTCCACATCCCTGTGATGTTCCCAGGACACTTCCCTGCCTGGCACAGACACCTCTGGGAAGCCACTTAGAGGATGTTTAACCCAGGGCTGGCACGGCCCGAGACAAGATCTCTGTGGGTCAGAGACCTCAAAAAGCTGTGCCTGGAAACCTCCAAAGCCACCTCCTTCCCTCCTCCCTGCTCCCGGGATCCCCCAGGCCTCTTATCAGGGACATCAGAGCCGGGATCTCAGCTGGGGAAGCTGCTCCGTGTCTCCCTTCCCACCTCTGGGACGTGCACAGGCACACGTGCACCCTCTGCATCCCAAATCCCGGGGTTTGGGACGTGGAAAACGAGGGATTCCTCCAGTCTGTTCGTTCCAGCTGGGATCTGACTCCAGGCCAAAGGGAGCCACTCAAACTGTCCCATTCTCCCCTCACAGCACAGGGACAGAAGGTGCCCCAAACATCCCGAACCAACAACTCGTGGGAGAGAAACGCGACAAAACCCCACAAAACTCGGCGTCGGGGAGACTCCGGCACCCGACACGAACCCCAGAGGAACAGCAGGTCCTTCCCCAGCCAGAGGAACCTTTCAGAGGGAGAGACTCACCCAAGTGAGCGGCGGGAGCGAGCGGGATTCCCGAGGAGCCGTGCGGGGCCAGGGCAGGACCCGGCTGCTTTTATAGGGTCCCTGCAGGAGCCCCAGAGAGGAGCCACCCTTTGTGGACATTGTCCTGATTCATCCCTGGCCAAGCCCAGCTGCGCCTTCACGTCCTCAAACGGGTTATTTGACTTTATCATCCCCTTCCCTATCATTTTGAGCCCGAAATAGCAGCTGCCGGGTGGCAATTCCGGCACCGGCCGGTTCCGCCCGGGAGCTGCTTCATGGGCTGCCAGGATTTGGGATTTTATGGAACCTGGAGCGGCTGCAAAGCACCTTCTGCACCAACGGAGGGGGCATTTTGATATAAGTGTGGGTTTGTATAAGTGGGAATTAATGTCTATAACACAGAACAGTTTATGTCTATAAAATATAACAATTTATGTCTATAAAACATAACAATTTATGTCTATAAAATATAATAATTTATGTCTATAAAATATAATAATTTATGTCTATAAAATATAATAATTTATGTCTATAACGTAGAACAGTTTATGTCTATAATTTATAAAAATTTATGGCTATAACATAGAACAATTTATGTCTATAACATATAAAAATTTGTGTCCATAACATAGAACAGTTTATGTCCATAACATATAAAAATTTATGTCTATAACATGGAACAATCTATATCTATAACATAGAACAATTTAGACCTATAACATATAAAAATTTGTGTCCATAACATAGAAAAATTTAGGTCTATGACATAAACCAGTTTATGTCTATAACATACAACAATTTACGTCTACAACATATGAAAATTTATGTTTATAACATAGAACAATTTATGTCAATAACATAGAACAATTTATGCCTATAACATATAATAATTTACATCTATAACACAGAACAATTTATGTCTATTACATAGAACAGTTTATGTCTATAACATATAACAATTTACATCTATAACATAGAACAGTTTATGTCCATAACATAGAATAATTTATGTCTATGACATAGAACAATTTACATCTATAACATATAACAATTTACGCCTATAATTTATAAAAATTTATGTCCATAAAAATTTATGTCTATAACATAGAACAATTTATGTCCATAATACCTAAAAATGCGGATGAATTTTTCAACAGGAGGATGGAAATTTGAGGGTGGGCACAGAAGTGCTGCTGGTGACAGACCCCAGGATGAGCAGATTTGGGCCAATCCAGGTATTTATGAGCCCTGAGTTTGGTACCAGAGGGGATTTTTGTTCCTGGACCCCAAAGACCATCTCGTTCCAACCCCTGACACCTCCTGGGAGACCCAAGCTCCACAAAAAGGTGAAATTCGGTGAGATCCCCAAATCCTCCCAATTTTGGTTCACGTGACATCCCTGTAGAATGTTTTATTCTTGGTTACTTCTTCTTTTTGTTACATTATGCAGGTTTTTTATTGGGAAGGAAAAACCCCGAGCACGAACAGAACATTTTTTTAAACGGTCCAAGTTTGCAAAACGGATTTTTGGAGGAGGAAAACATCAGCTGAGTAAGTGATGGCTTTTCACTGAGGGAAATCGTGATAAAACCCATTCCTGCTCAACTGCCTTCCACAGGCAGCTTCCCTGGCAAACTCTGCTCGATCTTTAATTAAAAACAAGAGCAGGAACCCCTCTGATTCCTGTGGAACCTTCCCCTGGGGCAGCTCTCGCCGTCATCACCTCCCCGACCTCCTTCTCCTTTTCTTTTTTATTATTATTATTTTTAATTTAATCTTTTAACAGCAAATTAATTAGACACCCAGCCATCCACGGGGCAAAGGAGGAAGGCCCCAGAGGTGCCACCTGGGCCCCTGCCTTTGGCTTTTGGGGGTGGTTTGGATGCCCCGAGGAGCGTGAACTCCTCGGAGCACGAACTCGTCCCGCGGCCTTGGGCGAGTGGCTCATCTGCCCATCTGCCAGCTCAGATCATCCTGGGTGTAGGAGCCCAATTAATTAGTGCTGGTGACACCTCGGGGACACTCAGACGGAGGATTGTCCCTGACCAGCCTTCATTTTTTGGGCTTTTTTTTTTTGTCGTCCCCGGATTAAATTGCGCCAGTGCCGCCCCACCTGTGGGATAATAACACCCTTGGGAAGCTGTAATTTTATGGTGGGTCGGGGTGATTATGAAAATGAGGGTATTACAGTGCGGTTTGGGTGTCCTGTAACAGTCTGTAATCCCCCTGCAGGGGCTGCAGCCACGCAGGAGAAGCTCCCTGGTGTTTTGGCTCAGCTGCTTTCCTGGGGTTTGCTGCCATTCCCAAAAAAAGCCCCTTTTTTAATTTCAATTATCATCCTCCTGATGGCAAAAATAGTGTTATTTGGGATATAACTAACCTGTCCCAAACAGGCTTTCCTGAGCTGGGAGGCTGGGTTTTATTATGTATTATTATTTATTGATGCTGCAAAAGGTGACATCTGAGGGCAAATTCCTGTTTTTTTAGGATTTTAGACCCTGAGCCAGAGCTAATATGAACCAAGACCTATCAGACAAACCTCCAACTGACCTGTTCTACAAGAAAAAATGGAGTTTTCTGGAAAATGAACTATTCTGAGGGATGTCTGAGCTGGAGGTGGGTTTTGGCAGGTGCTGGTTTAACCCTCGACTCTCCCATTGTGTGTTCACAGGACATGAGGTCGCTCACAATTTATTATTGCCCGGGTATTTTACCAGCAGCAGAGCAAAGGGGGGCACTTGGGGGGTCTGATCCATTTAATTTTTGATTCCGCACGTGGAAACCAGCTCGTCCCAGTGCTGTGGGTGCCGGGGGTGGTTTTGAAACGTGGGGTTTTCTGATTCAGGGCTGAGCCAACCGTGAAATTGGGGGGTGTCTGGGGGGGATGACGTTGGATTTCCCAGCCAGGGCTCTGGTCACCGACCACAGAGCAGGAGCTGTGGGGGATTTATCACCCTCTGATGCCTCTGAGAGGCCACAAGTGAAAGATTGCAGTGGGGAAGAACAGGTCGGGCCTCTCCCTCTGTGCGGGATCCGCAGCCCTGGGGCTGCCTTGGTGCTCCAGCACCCCCTAATAACCCCCCCTGGCTCCACCACCCTCCCAGCCACCCACATTCCTACGTGCCTGCCTGGAAAAGTGCCCCTGAGCTCGGCCTGAGGGGGAGATCAGCTCCAACCCCTGTGCCAGCCCCTCATCTCTGCCCTCCCCGGGATGTGCCCAAATCACCCTTTTCCCTCTGTCCAGCCCATCCCCACTCCTGCTTTTTCAGGCTTCCACAGCTAATGGGCATTTTTGGTCTCCCTCCCGTGCTCCTCTCTTTGGAGCCTATTAATGAGTGAGGTTTAATGGGACGAATCCCTCCTGCTAAGTCATAAAGCAGCTCTTTATTCTTTTCAGGGGAAAACCCCTGGAGCGGGTGAGGAACCTGCTCAGGTCGCCCCTGCTGTGGTGTTAAACCCCCATTTCTGCCTCCCCTGAAGCCACATCTGCACAAACACACCCAGGACACGGAATTTTTGCCTTTGGTTTTATTGCTTTGCTCACACAGGGGGGAGAGGGGAGGCCTCGGGTCACGCCCAGCTCGGCACCAACGGGGGGGTGGAGAAGGAATTAGGCACAAAATGAGAATTAGAAGTGGAAAAACCAGAGTGGGACTGGACAAACCGTCCCACTCCTGGCAGGGGGAGCAGCCTGGGCTCGTCCCAGCCCTCACTGCTCTGGTGGCCACTGGGCCAGAGGCTGCAGGAGCTGCTGCTCCTCCTCGGGTTGTCCTTGGAGCTGCTGTGCCTCGCTGTGCTCCGTCCCCAGCACTTTGGATCCAGGGATTCGATGCCAGTCTGGGTCGTGGGGTGTTCCCTGGGCCTTGGCATCCTGCTGGGGGCTTGCACCCCACTGTGGGGGCAGCAGCTCCG